AAAAAAGAGGAGAGATTCAAGAAGGTCCCGGCGAGGCCGGGGGCTTCTTCGCCTTCGAAGGAGATCGACCCTCCACGTCCCTTGGTGCTTCCACTCGAAAAAGCTCGTTTGGCGTCAGGCGATCCCATGTTCACGGTTTCACCGTGATCCCGGGAGAGCGTTCGGCGGGTCCTTCATGGAGCGCTGCTTCGTCCTCAGCTCGCTCTTTGCTTGAAGAGGCCGTTTCGTGGGGGGAAAGGCGGTACTAGCGATTCCGTCAAAGTATTTGTCATTGCGTCTAAGCACCCCTTCAAAGGAGTACCCCACCTGGTTGGACCGATTAGCTCCTCGGTGACCGGTCGGTTACACTCGATACCACGGTCACTGAAACAAACATAGACGGTACTTTCATGACGAATCGGGCTCGACAAAAACACTCCTTGCACACACTCGGCCGTGTGCAAAACGCCGCCATCTCCGACACCGGACCTTAAGGAAGTCACACTGTGTACCCGCCGCTGCGTCATCAAACTCTAAGTCCATGCTTACTTTTCTTCAGAGTAAGGTTTGGCGAGGGAGGCGGTCACTGTCGGGCAGCAGATACTTTTTCAGGTTGCGGACGCTCACACTAATTACCCCCAGTCAAAAAGGAAAATTGGTGTCGGGCGCTGCAACTCTGGTTCAGAAAAAGTGAACCTGATTTGTAGCCGCCCGATTAGTAGTCCTTCTAGCTAGTCATCAACACCACATAGGCACACCACCTGTGCACCCGACACTTCGGTCCACCACCTCATCCTTGGATGAGTGGCTCTCCCGGATTCCTGTCCGTCAGTCTCCCTTATGGTCGGCTCCCTGTTAACTCATACTCTCCGTTCTGTAGAATCTCTTCATTCCCTGTCTGGGAAGGTGGGCGAGAGCCATTTAAGCACTCCTTGAGGAGAATGTAAATCGGAAGGAGGGCACAGCATTACTTAAGACGTCACGGAAGGGTGAATTAGAGGCTTTCATTCACAGTTTCGGGTTGGACTTACTATGCATAGTACTTATAACTGTGTGCGAACTTAATGCATAGTACATACTTAAGCCGGCTTTACTACTCCTAATCCATTCCTTCATGCAATAATATTGTCATTGCAAGCGAAGAGCGAAGGGCTATTGGCTACTGAGTAGTGAGGTATTTATTTGTCCAGGACCCAATCGCGACCTTTGACCATTAAATTTTGATGCTTTGATGGACGAAGTTGCTTTCGAACAGTAGTCTACATGTAGTATCTCTGTCGCATTGGAGGTGCTCTCGTGCTCTCATTGAATGCAGCGGTAGCGTTGTACTGTGAGTACTGGTAACGTTCTTTCAGCTTGTCCAGCAAACAGTACATTACAGCTTCCGCAGTGTCGTTTACTGGAGCTGGTATTTTTAGAGACGGTACGGTAAAGGTACGGTAAATATTAGGTATACGGTAAAGGTAACTGGTACCGGTAGGAGCTCTCCAGCTAGCTAGCTCTCGGTGGATCTTCCTACATGTTGTACTGGTACGGTATAATATATAATATCTGACTCGAGTAATTTTAATAGGAGCTTTGGACGGTACTCTAGGTTTGACCACTAAGTCTTGCTAGAAGACAGATCGTTAATAACACATGCAGAATTGAAATCTTACTTACTCACACACTTACCGCTGGACCCGTACAGCTGGTGGGGAGGATAATTAATTTCTCTATACTTACTTGTACCGGTGGCACTGGTTGCAGTCGCAAATCTCCACAGACAGTTCTCTTCGCGGATTCTTCATCTACTAATTAAATCCTTGGGTGAACTTGAAGGTTCACATTCGCATTCTCATGTAATACCAGCAAGTCCTGTTAATTAAACAGAGCATCACCGGTATTAATAACATAATTGCACATCATTAAATTTTCAGTCTGGGTGGGCTTCTTCTTTGTCTTCTTGGCTGTGCGGCTACCGGTAGTACCGGTAGCGTCCGAGCAAGTCGAGAGCAGAGAGTGTCAGTCCAGTTTTTCGGATCTCCTGCCACTCTCTCCTTATACTTTCAGCTGAGCGGAACCTGAAGTAAAATACAAGTAAGGAGATTGGTCAAACCATGGTTGAGGAGGATAAGAATAATGCATCCAAAGAGGAAGACTTGGAGGTTGCTTCCATCCAGGAAGAGGCCACTGACGGTGAAGAAGATACAGAAGTGATGAACCCGGAGGACCAGAAGGATCCTTCGTCGAACATTGCCATTGGTGTCCCCACTGAAGAGAATGCAACAGACAGCAGTACCATGATTGATGACTCCACCGATGATGATATCAAAGGTACTGACGTAGACGAGCAGTCTCATCGGGTTGACTTTGAGGAGCAGAATGCACTGGAACAGGGCAAGCGAGCCGAGGAGGAGCAAGAAGAAGAACAGGGCAAAGAAGCCGAGGGATTCCGCAATGAAGGCATAGAAGGTGTTGTCGTGCAGATTTCGGATATCGAACACGATGGCACGGTACCTCCTCTTACGCTAAGCCGCAGTACAGTCATTCGCGGTGCCAATCAGGTTCCAGGAGCCTATAGTGTGGCTGGGATTGCTTCTAGTACCGGTGGACCACCTGCTGGAAACAGAGATATATCTGCTAGTGGAACTGTGGCGGGCCACAGAGAACTGGAAATTGACCCCCTCCACGCCGAGTTGGTGCCAGAGGAAGCGGAAACAGTAAGAGATCCTTCCCAGTCTTCTGCAGTGGAACTTCCACCCATCATTGAAGGTACCGCTGTAGAGGGTGAACCCAAGTCCCCGAAGCGCTTCAATGTTTTGTCCGCCATGGGTATCCTCTTGATGGTTATGATTATTCTAATGATGTCCTTGGGGTTGAGTGGTGTCTTTTCTTCTAAAAGTGTTGCCACCGCCAGTGAGCAGCATCAAGGAGACACAGAGGACACCCAGACTAGCATTGGTTCCTCCTCCACTGTGCCACCCATTGATGAGTCCAAACTGTCCAAGTTGGAGGAGATTCGAGAACGTGGGATTCTTCGGGCTGCATTTATGCTCCCAGAGACCGACGGCTTGCTGGCCTCACTGGTGGGTACACCAATGCATAAGAATTGTATGTTTTGCTCATCTATCTAATTAATCTGTTCCTTCCCTACCGTTTCACAGCTTCGAGCCATTGCCAAAGGAATTATTGGGCCGGAAGGCGAGATTGAACTTGTCGACACAGAGATTCCAGATATGTTCTCAAGCATCATCAATGGCACTACCGATGTCATCTTATTTGGAGCAACCCATACAATGGCTCGGGATGTCTACATGGTAGGTGCAATGGCTAGCCGGCCAATCAGGCCAATCAGTAATTCTCTGTTGGTTCAGGTGTTTTCTCTAACCTGCCATTTCTCCCTTTTCCTCTCCAAAGGAATCCACACAAACTACCGTGTCGTTCTCCATTCCGTACCACTATGAGGGACTTCGTATTGGAGGCGTCCCAGAGTACGTCAAATGTGTAGATCAGAACTTTAAGCACATTGACGAGTGCGAAGATTTGAAGGTTTGCGTCACAGCAGAAACAACCTACCGCGAAGTCATTACCAAATACTTGCCACAACGGCGCATGGTGGAAAAGAATTGGGAGGATGGTGGAGTTTTTGAAGGTTTCCTCAATGGAGAATGCAATGTGATTGCGGAAATGGGTATACATCTGGTCAGTGGCAGCTTTACTTCTAATGTAACTCAATCTGAAGGAGGGTTTGCCTTGAGTGAGAACTACTTTTCCAATTCCCCCCAAGCTGTTGTGACTGCCAACAATGAACCGGAGTTGGTGGATATCATCAATGCCATTCTCTGGAGTCTCTTGGTAGCTGAAACAGAGAATATCACCCAAGCCACTGCTGAATCATTCCCACAAACAACACTCTTTGGGGAGGACCACAAGGACATGTTCCGGGATGCCATTGCAGTCCATGGGAACTTTGGAGAGATTTACGAGTCAACCTGGGGGAGGTTTATTCCCAGAAGTGCGCTCAATCATATTAACACGGGTGATGCTAATACGTCTACTGGCGTGTTGTATTCCCATCCCTTTGGAGACATTGGCAGCATCCGAGATGACAATATGCCTTTTGGAGGTACACTCACAGCTATACTCCAACGAGGAAAGCTCCGTTGTGGCATTCGTGTTGGCAGATCAGGATTTGCCACCAGATTAGAGGAGGAAGCCGGATATTCTGGAATGGATGTGGACTACTGCAAGGCGGTGTCTGCCAGTCTCTTTTCAGGTGACGTAGATGCAGTGGAATTTGTGGAGGTGGAAGAGGACAGTGATGGCTACATGCTTTTGTCGGCAGGTACCATTGATGTCCTGGCAGGTGCAACTTGGACTCTTCAGAATGACGTGATGGAACCCAACACCCAACAAGGCTACACATTCTCTCAACCATACTTTTATGGCTACAGTGCAGACCATGACAATTTTTGCTTGGCCACTCGGCAGGGTGAAGATGAAGACTGGAGTCGGTTAGTGTATTGGGTGATATCCGCCTCTATATTTGCCGAAGAAGAAGGCATTGATTCGGCGTCATCCCATCAAATGCCAGAAGTCTTTGTGTATGGGCCGGCTATGAAACGAATGTTTCGAGACATTGTTCTCCAATTCGGCAACTATGCGGATATGTATGGGAGGAATTTGGAGGCTCTCTACCCCCGGAGCGGGAGGAATCAAGTGAACAGATTCCCTAACACGGGTCCTCAGCATTATCCTGTGCCAGGGTTCATGTGAAACAACAACAACCACCTCGAGTATCTAGTTCCAGGTTTGTTTGAATCAATCTCGAGGAACATGATTTGTCAATGCAACCATGTCTATCTATGGAACCAAACTTTACTGTAGAAGTGGCATTTCGATCTAAATATAGTATGTGTATGTTGATGTTTATGCTGAAAGAGACTCTGGCTAGCTTCAGAACCGAGGTTACATTTGGCATTCGCATCAAAGACACGGATTTCTTCAGTAACTGTAAGAGCAGCAGCCTTTGGTGATCTAGATGCACCGCTTCCGACGAGATTGGTTTATTGGCGAGATGCCAAGAGGAGGTAGGCAACTATGAGAATGCAGATCATTGTGGGAGGATGTTTGGCATCAGGCAACACCAAAATTCCCCTCTAATCGAGAATGTCTCCGAGCTGCCAAACAGCAAGTGGTGGGAATGCGAAAGAAAAAGAGAGCCTTCTCTAATCTTGCTGGACAAAAAGAACAGGGAAAATGGCCAACGCCGCTGAAGCGGAGCACATAATGGATCCATGGCTGACCTGCTTTTCCATGAAGAGGAAGACGGCAAGCAAGGAACCGGCATCACGACGCCGTTAACCGATGCTTCCAAGCGTACCAAAGCCATTCATATAGTGCTGAATGGGGCATCGTGGCAAAGCACAGGTGGATTTTCACGACGGTGGATTGGTTGTCTTTCGTACGGTGCGGCGGAATGGGGCGCAACTGGGAAGTTGGGCGCCATGAGAACCAGCAACCATCCAACAGGGGGCAAACCAGTGGTAAAGGTGGCTTCCTGCGGTAAACAGCAATGTACGGCACCTTTGTAGCCTTTTAGAAGACGTCGAACGGTGCCATCGGAGGAGCTCATGTTCGGACTGTGCGACGTATCATCATGGTGGTGGTCACTGAGCAGCCCATTTTCAGTACGAGGATCCGAATATCGAAAACCAGGACTTGCGCTCGTAAACAGGGCATCCTGTGATAGAACTGAGGCTCTTGGTGGCTTAATGTAGCGTCAAACTCTAGGTCATGATCGCAACACCGACGCTATGGTAGGAATTTACGTGAATCCCAGCCCGTTGCCAATCAAGGTATCTTTGCATATATAACTAGCCGACTCTTCCCTGATCCCCTGTTATACCGACAGAGAGGTAGATCAAGGGAAATAAGGATGTCATCAATGGTAGAAGAGTGTACAGCAGTTGATTACAGCGGCTGCGAGTGAGTAACTCGCAAGTACCGCGATAATGGATCCAAAACAAAGGGGAAAAGCGGATCCTGGGAAAGACAAGAAGATGGCCTTGAGGATCCTCTTTCGACTCGTATGTACTGCTGTTTGTTTTCAAAATCAGTTTTCAATGGACCGGTCTTGAAAAGTTGGGTTGTTCATGGTGAGAACAGCCAGAAGCCTACTCGAACAGAATGGTGCGGAGACTGGGAAGTGCCTCCGCATTCTCAACAAATTCGTTCACCCCCCACTACCGGAACCCCCCAAAAAGTAGAAATGACCCAAGGCAGCTGCCTTCTAATTTCTGTACAGTAGCTTGATAATCGAGTACATCATTAATCTGAGTATGTTCTCTTCTCCTCTCTCAACGATTTAACAAAAACAGGTGGTCCCATCGATCTGGTCTTGGGTTCTTTGTCTCATTCAGTACTGTCATGGAAGTCCAAAGCTATAAATAACACATATGCATTAACACCATTATATTCACTAAGATGGGGGTTTTCTGATACCCGAGTA